TATTGTCGTACAGCTGTTGGATGAGATGTATAATTGTCGGTGGCACCCCGTAGTAGCGAAGTAGTTTCCGAATCACCTCTCGATCGACGCTGTCGAAGGCCTTTTCAAAGTCGATGAAGTTGAGATAGAGAGGTGACTGCCATTCCAAGCTTTGTTCAATGATGATCCGTAGTGTGGTGATTTGATCAACACATGACTTGTTTCTCCTGAATCCAGCTTGTTCCGGTCGAAGTTTTTCATCCAGGGCATGTTTGATTCTCTCCAGGATGATGCGGCTTAGTATTTTGCTTGGGATGGACAGGAGCATAATTCCGCGCCAGTTCTTGCATTGACTTAAGTCTCCTTTCTTTGGTAGTTTGAATAAGTATCCTTTCTTCCAATCCTCGAGTACTTTGCCTTCTTTCCACACCTTCTCCAGTAGTGGCGTCATCAAGTCCGCTGTTGTCTCTGGGTCCATTTTCAATGCCTCTGCTGGGATTCCATCTGGTCCTGCTGCTTTTCCAGCTTTTAGCATCTTGATTGCCTTCAGGACTTCTGTTCTCGTCGGGGGGTTGATGTTCACTGGTAATTCTGTCTCCGTTGTTGGTATTGTTGTGCGCGTTGTAAGTGGTGGTCGATTTAGAAGTCTTTTGAAGTGTTCAGCCCAGTGTTTCCTTTGCTCCACTTCTTTGGTGATTGACTTTCCATCGGCATCCTTCACTGGCTTAATTTGTGACGAACTTTTGCCCGAAAGGTACCTAGTTGTTTGGTAGAGTGTTGCGCGGTCTCCTTTGCCTGCAGCTTGTTCCGCTTCACTTGCCATGGCTTCATAATATTTTCTTTTGTCTTCCCTGGCACTCTTCTTTACTCTTTTGTTCAGTGTCTTGTAGTTTGCATTCAAATCCTGTTTTTGTTGCTCGTCGGTGCACTGGAGAATCTTTTGTTTCACAGTTGACCAAAGGTTTGACACGGACAGTAAGCAGCTACACTTTGAGAGAGTGGACAGGAATATAATGAATAAGAGTGATGGTCATAGTGTGAAAAATAGTTGTGTTCAAAATTTCGTGGATGAAAAAGACCAGACTCACCCACATTGCTGTGATTGATTTTGAGGCATTTGGCTGTGGGTTTTGATGACTAATTATCAGCATCCTTAAGACTCCCAGCCATATACCCCGCACATACTTACATGTCTCAGAACAATAGTCAAGCGCTCTAAGTATATGTGCCATATCCTGATCTGACCACCTGTAACTCTTTTTTTTAGCTTAAATTCATGTCAATCAACAGTTTGTTGGTGAGAAAGGCATTGGCTTGGTATGCGCATCACGCGTACCAGCAATTTTATTCGATACAGCCTCATAACCTCATTGACTAATGTTTACTCCTTACCTTAAACTACTGCCAATCTCATTGTCACTCACGCCATCAAACCATTAAGAATAGACAGAGTGCAAGCACCTATAGTCAAAGACAACTGACCTCATCTTTTATTCTCAACGGTCACCACTCACGCCAGTAATGAAGAATGAGACAAACTGGAGCACATTACACACGAACACTGATGGGAGCCCAGATGTCATGCTTGTGCCGAAGATGAAGCAAGTTAGCTTATATCACACGCCCCAAATGTGTCCGTGCTGAAATGCCGTCAGTAATCAGTCCACTGATGCAACTTCACATACGGGTGAAGTGGTCAGCACTCAGCCACTCTACTCCCTGTCCTTAAATGAGGATTTGGTGCAGACTAGTCCTGAGGCATCACCTTACAAATGAAAAGCGCAAATCTCATGAGGAAAATTCTAAATTTTCTTTCCATGATATTCTGAAGACATGCAAAACTGCACAAAACTATATACTGCTTACTGACTGAGATGAGTAGTTGTATGCCATTCACTCCAACAATTAATGCGAAACTGAAGTGATCCAAACCCGGTTAAACCGGGTGTACGGTGATGGATTCGGCACCAAACGAGCATAACGGCCCTCAGGCGTCTGCATAACTTCCAAATGGATAGTAAGCACTACCACCCGACGCGAGTGACATATAACTACTCATCTTAATCAATCAGTAGTATGTAGTTTTATGTAATTTTGTTTGCTTTCTTGGTTGCTATTCAAGGCATTATGCAGATCACATACTTTGAAAAGAATAATTTCTGTCTCAAAAGGAAGCTATGGTGAAACCCCATCTCCAAATGCACCAATTACGAATTACATTTACGTTCACAGGGCTCTGTATTTTGTTATAGTCATCACACACCCTAGATCGAGGGGATAGGTTATTCCCTAAGTCGCTAAATTCGACTGAGATTGTATGTATTGGCAAAATTATGATGAAATTCAACATATATGAAAGAAGGAGTTCAGAAAGGAAAACAGTCTGTTAAATTTATAAACGCATTTATTAGTAATTTCAAATATCTTTTTAAAAATATAAAGCTTTTTTAACTACAGTGTATAGAGTAAGTAGATTTCAAACAGTTTCGCTGATTGGTTAGTTCTTTTACATTTCTACCCAAGCGTGATTTTAGTCTGAGCAAGAAGACTTAGCTGAAAAACTTGTAGGACAACGAAATACCGACTACTTATCATATATAATAGTCGATCAACACCCTTATTGAATAACGTCAGATTGAGTTCTGATAGATCTCGATCTCGATCTTACCACTTAATTGCCGAGACATCTGTCTGCTAACTGTGAAACTGTTTATTCGATCTCTTAAGTAATTCATGATGTCATTCCCAATTCAATATTCATCGTCTTCATTGACACATTTTGCTGAATAAGGAATTTTTACAGGTTTAAAACATAAAAGTACAAGCAAAAATCTAACTTTAATAATTTTTCAGCTGTGATGCAGAAGTTATCATCCATTCTTCAACTTTCATATCATTGCTTGCTATGACTGTGAGCTAAATTAATTCATTATAATAAATATCTAAGTTATTTTTGTTTTTCTTTTAAAATATATCTGACTCTTGGTGCAATAAATTGAATCCTTCACGTGCATACATCAAATCATTACTGCTTATAACTGTACTTTTACAGTGTAGATAATATGTATGCAGCACTATTGATGGATGATTTTCTCCTTTCGTGTGTTTTCTTATTTTCTAAAATACCCAAAATTATCAAAACTAACTGATCAATAGTTGATGTATTCAGTCATACATTGCTATTTTTCTACTAGTGTCTTTGTCATGAAAAAAATGAGTAGCAGTACACTTCAACAATGATAACAACAAAAAGTGGTACAATGTACTGATCTTATATTGTTTACTGTCTATGCGTTGTGTATTTTTTTCTGTCTTCAGATTTTTATTTGACCTTATTCGCTATCAAACATACTTTTTCCTGTGTTAAATACATTAACAGTCGGGTCTAGTGACTTTATAAGTTACGTTCATATTATGAAATAAAGTCTTTGTTGAGCATATGTATATATATATACTTGGTGAGTAATATTTAGACTAGGCGTATAGTGTTACCTAAGAAAGCTGTTAAGTTACATCATTTAGGATGGCTAGGGTACGTGTTGAGCATGCCAAGCCATCGCCTTCCTTGACGAGTAGTGTTAGCCTACATACAATTGGACTGGAAAATTTAGGGTTGGTCAAACCAAAACCTGATATCAGTCCATCAAGTCTTTAACTTTTGGTTTCATCTAGTCACGTAGGCTGCCTGGTTGAGGTCTTCAGGATGCTAAGAATCAGTAGTGCAGATGCATTCACTCTTTATGATCTCCCGTATCCACTAAACTGTCATATTTTTCTGTGTTACTATTCTCTCTCCCTTACACACCGGCCTATTATAATTCTTTTTAATCCTTTTTGTCTCTTTTGTCTACCTTCGTGTGTTACATAGAATGTGGAAGACTAAACGGGTACACTTTTGTACAAAGGTTTATGTTGAAACTCAGTCTGTCAGTCTGTCATATAAGTGTACCATCAGTTAAATTAACGATTTGTTTAATTAAAATCTTATTTCAAGTAAAAAAAATGACGCTTGTATAACGAAGAAACATATTTAATGTACTTCAAAGCAATATTTTACCTTGCTTTTGGAATTTTCTACAGTGTACGTGCTGTGTTTATCCCTAAATAAAAGGCGTTTAGGTCACCCGAAGTCAGAATAAGATATAAACATTGAATTACTCAGTCTGAGGATAGCGACTAATGTATTTCTAAGTTTCTGTTGTTGTTCAGTATTCAATAAACTGATTTCGTTATCAGACTGATTGATCAAATCTGCATGTAGATTTTGGACTTCATGAGTAGTTTACAGTGAACGACAGGAGTTTACGAATCGCATGGGTTTTCTGATAACAGCAATATGTGACAAGCAACCACATGCGTATAACTTTCAGTTATGCTGGAAAATATACAACTAATTCTAGGGGTAGCTCATTTTGTTGTAAAATTATTTTTTGATTTGACATGGTTACTTAAATCACTAACTTATAAATAACCTATTCGTGGGCAACATGAATGCTGAGTGATACTCGAAGTGACTGAATGCATTTAAGTGCTGATAGATCAGTTAGGTTGTACAGTGTGAACCTTACTTTAAATGAAATGGCACTACTGTGCATTGTAGCTTGATATATCATAGCTTGAATAGTTTACTGGTGAATTCCCTGACTCTGGCAGTTATTGGGTGGAAATATGAGTACCCTAAAGGTAGAAGATAAACTTTATGGAGCATTACGAAGAAGCTAAAACATATATCAAACATCTGCGATGAGACTGCATTTGACCTATTAATTTTTATCAAAATACTATCTATTATAATTATTAAACAGTCTCTGTAATATGACAGAGTTAACTTTTTTCTCAACTCACTCAATAATTATTTCATAAACTAGAACACTATTATCTTCAGAAGGGCGTTTTAAGTATACATTGTTGAAATGCAGCTGGAAAAGCTAAAAAAGCACTTAAATTTAAAAATATTTCTAAATTTGCTCGCGATAAATTTGTGTACAATATGTTTTTTTAACTTTCTGATTGTTTTATAGTTCATGTAGTCAACCGGTTTCCATGTCTAGTGGTCGAGATTGTAATTCCACTACTGGCCTTATCAGAAATGCGAATTCATCGAGTGTATCTGCAGCGACGACAACAGTCACAGGATCTCTTGGTCAAACTCAACTTCGACTTCCTGGAAGTCTGGGTGGTATTTTATCTTCTAGTTCCTCACTAACCGGTCTGAGTATTCCAAACTCTAATATTGGCCAACAAGGTTCTGCTACCGGTTCCGTTAGCGCTTCCTCTGGTCAACTAGTTCAAGGACTTGAATGCTTACGACTTAATACATCAGCTACTTCTACAAGTGTATCACATAACTCCACTCAAGTTTTGCTCGACCAACAACAAATACCTAAACCACAAAGAGTTCAACAACCTCAGTTCATTTTATCAGCCAATTCTGGTATAATCTATGGATCAAATATCAATCCAACTACAACACGATTAGTTGGTACAGTTCTACCTGCTACTCCCCAAACTGGCAATCAGCATTCACATCAAGGTAGTATGGATAGTGGAGTAGGTCAGTCATTAACGGGTCAGTCGAATCCTAGCGCTAATCAAACTCCTGAACATACCGTTATGCTGTTTTGTGATCCGGGTAAGTCACATAATATACCTGATTATGTTTATTATAACTCTGAATTAAAATTTTACAATGAAACAGTAGAAGTATGTATTTCCACTCTAATCTTGAAGTATTATGTCATGCAAATGTATTACTTCATGATAAACAGTAATACGGAGAAAAGCCATTTGTACAACTGTGATGATTTTGTAAAAGAAGCTAAGTAAATGGTTTAACTAAAACAACTGTTACTCATATTTAATGAAGTATTGAAATGCACATATATACTAAATACTTAGCTCTTTAAACTCGTCCTGATTACTGAAACTCACTGGTCATCTAACTTCCATCTCATAAGTCTTTACTGTATGTGGGAAACAAAAACAAGACTATTGCTTAACTGACTTTTGCTAAAAATATTCTTGTGATAAATAAACTCATAGGTATTGGAGAATAAAAATGAGAGCTGGTATATTTTCATTTCATGTTTTAGTTCAAGACTGGGTTTCAAACATCCAAAGCATTTAGTTTTCGTAGATATTAATAGCTTAGATATTAAAAGTCAATCGGTAGAAAGCTCCAAACTGCAGTGCATAATACTTTTTTATAATTTGGCTTACTGAAGATACTGTATTCATGATCTTGGATCAACTCACATGGGATTTGATGGCTGTACATTTTAATATACGGATACTAGTCAATCTAGATTTAGGTGTTCTGGTAACTTTATTACACTTCAAAGTAAAATTTTCCTTCTTAAATCCAGGGAATTTAGTCTCCTTCATTTTAAACTTCATTGAAAATTACGTCAAGCTAAGCGCGTCAAGCTCTGCTTAAGTAAGGGTTAAGTCAACAAGAAAATTTACCTAAATGTGAATAGTGCAAATTACCAGTATTTGTCAATATATTAACAAATCTGTATTAAGATCAACGTACTGAACAGTAATGAATTTCATGCAGCCTTGTCGACTTCATTTTAATGCATATTACTACTAACACCTTGTTCGTCTGTGATTCAGGGGTAAAATGCTTGCCAGCACACATGTGTTCCCGATTCAGTTCCCTATGGGCGTGTTCATAAACCTCTCCTAGCTGTTAGTAGGCCTGGAAAAGAAACTGAAACTTCATAGCTTAAAGCTTCAAGCCTTTTGTTCCACTCAGAACGCAAAGGAATGAAAGAAGAAGACTGCTAACACCATTTTAGTAAGGTATATATTCGAGAAAATTAGTACGCTTACGATTCGGTAATATTCTGCGGTTTAAAAGGGCGCTTGAATGATAAACATTTTTACTACTATTCTTATAAATCATATATATTCTCCAATATGAAGTTTCTTAACTTAACCTTATAATTTAAAGTGCAAACGTGATCTAAGATTTGTGATTTGCATTATCTAAGGAAAATTTTAGTCAGTTTAGCCAATAAGGTCTGATACTTCTAGATTTAGTTATTAGGCTACATTACTCCCCTCTTTTTAAAGAATAATTGCAGTTTTCTTAGCCTCTGAAACCTTTAAAAACTTTCGTATATTTTTCATTTGATATGCGGTTGGGTAATGAGTAATTGAAGAGTATCTGGAAGCCATTTGGTCTCTTCTCCAACGTATTCTTCTCATTGTCCCTGTTGCCTTCATTTCTGTTATAATTTCCAAAATTAGTCTGTCTATTCAAACATAAAAAATTATTCATAGGGCACCTTCCAACTTTAAAAAATATAAAATGGAACAATGAGATTACTGGTAGGCTTAATTATTGGCCGAACTCCTGCAAGTTTTCCTATGTAGTTCATTCAACACCAGATACTAGCAGAACGTAAAATAAGCTACATTGCATTACTTGGCTGGTAGACATAACTGCTTGCAGTGAATTAAACTGATGAATGCAACTGAAAATTATTACCGGTAACATATACTTTGAAAATATCATCATATTGGTGTTAAAATAACGCACAGTTGAACTTCGATTAGTTAAAATATTGAAGGTTTGCGTTGGTAGTTCAGTAGTAGAATGCTCACCAGTCATACAGGAGGTTCAAGCTGGATTCCCAGCTGACGCACTCCCAAACGACCTAGTTCACTAGCACATAAGAGGAAAAGTTGGGCATGAGACTAGTAACCTCACTTCATAAAAATATTTGTCATTGCTACTAAAACTTCAAGAGTTGAAGTTGTTCCACTTTGAAGGCAATGAATGAAAACAGGGCTGCAAGAAAAGTGTTAGCCTACAACTAATCTTCCACAGCATTGACTACATCATAATACTTTAATTGCCTTCAGTAAAGGTAACATTATATCACTTTAACTTAACACTTATGTGCATTACTAGGTAGATAGGTTGGTAAGCATACAAGAACTAGACATTAGACTTTAAACCGAATTGTTTCTTTCAGTAATCATTCTTTTTTCTAAAATAAAGAAAAAAAGTCATAAGTACAAATTCGTTTTCAATCAATTCATCATTGTATACGGTCAGGGTGAGTGTATGTTTGAATTATACTGATCATATGCCACAACAGTGTCGTTAAACACCTTTTTGTTTAAAAAAAGCGGCTAATTGTTATGGGTGATTATCTCATAAAAAGAAACTCAAATCTGCCTAATTACACACAGCACACATGCTTTACTAAGCAGACTATTTTTATAAACACAGGCTCACATCATGAATAACAATAATAGTGATAACGACTATAGTAATAAAGTTCTGTTATTATGATGTGACTGTGTTGTCGTTGCCGCTACACACACGTGGTTAATCATCATGCAGTAATAATAATAATCAGTGTATTGATCAAAAAACTGTTAACTTCTTATGTGTTGGAGGCTTGGTTGTAGCATTTTTATTTAGCCTGTGCTCATTATTATCATTATTATTCAGTGAACCATCTAGTCTTTCTATAGTTTATAATTATAGTTGTCATTACTATTATTATTTTGAATTATTATTATTATAGTTATCGTTTTCAAGATAACCAAAATTTTGTCATGACAAATTGAAATTGCAAAAGATATGCATTCATAATTTTTTATCTTATTTGTACATATTTTAAAAGAAAAAATGCTGAGTTCCATGGTATCGTTTGTATGTGTGTACATATGTATGAGTTCTTTATAAAAACGTTTCTTCAAAAATAATCAAAAATTATCGTAGATTAGATCACAGCGACTAATTATATATATCTAGGTGGCAGATTAATTGCTATGATATTTTAGCACTTTCATTTCAGTGGCAATTAGGCACTGATTATTGAGAAATCGATTTATATTACATAATTAACTAAAGAAGAAGTTATCGAAAATGGGTTCCGTGTAAAGTGGTGGTACACTAACCTTGATCACTTGCTTGATCTACATTAATAACAATAGTAATATATAGTCGTGATTGTCAATGAAATGCACACTAAATTTTTCGGCTGAGTAGCTATAGACATATAATAATAAAATTTCTCAGTACAGCATACCTTAAAAATGTAAAATGAAGAAAAAGGAAGAGGGGGAAGGAGACTTTCATATTTTTCCACGAAACTATTTATGATAATCTTAGTATGGAGACTGAAACAATGAATATATTCTAGATAACTGAAAGGTTCCGGGTTCGAATCCCTGTGGGTACGTACTGATGAAGAGTCCAAGCCTATGAAGAAGCAGCCATCCGATAGTCTGTGGTTTTGGGACACTTGGACTACCATATACCCTGACGGCATTCTCCTAACTTTTATTGCCAGATATGCCAAATTTAATAGGAGAGCGTGACACGTGATGATTGAGTTCAAGGTTTAGAGAGGTCTGTAGGTTACATGCATGCCTCCCACCCTAATGACATTTGTGTGTGTGGTAGATGTCTCAAGTTGTCTTGTGTCTGATCCCCGGCAGACACATTCCTAAACGTCACTTGGCTGGTAGTAAGCCTGGTTAGGAAGGTAGGTAGGGCTTGAGCCTAGCAACCCCACCCAGTATAAAAAAGGACAACATAACTGCTACCAAAACTACAAAACTCAAAGCTTGAAGCCCTATGTTCCACTCAGAATGCAGAGAAATAAAATAATAAATAAACAACACAGAAAATTCCCAACTTATTACTTTATTGTTTGAGCTGGAAGATTCATGATAGAAAGTTATGACATTTTGTAACTGAAATAAATCTGTTATTGAGTTAGCACTTAATCCTCTAGTACAACTAATGGGTTCTTGAGATAGTTTAGAATTCATTAGCCGCAGGATTGCTACAACTTATGCATTTATCATAATGTTAATCATTATGTCCGTACGTTACAATGTTAACAGAAGAGTTCAGAGTGTTTCACACCCAGCCTTGTAGACCATTAATTTAATGTATATTCAGATTATGAAATTTGTGGGGATTTACATTAATTTTAATTCCAGTTGTTGGATTTTTGTCATAAACAAACATCATTTAGAGTGATCATTGAAAACCTGGTAACAGTGATCAGCTGTTTTGTCCTATTTTGAAACTCTAGGGTAATGCGCACCAGAAACCCAAAGAGAGGTCGAACCCGGGCCCTGCAGGTTACTAGATCAAGCCCATTAACCAATCAGCCATTTGATTCGGTATTCACTGAGCCGTAACCTGAAGGCTGTGGGTTCGAACTCTGCTGCGTTCGTTGGTACCCATTGCCTTACAGTCCCAGAATAGGATGAAACAGCTGTCCACTGTTCTCTGGTTTTAAATGAACTCTCGAAGTTATGTTGGTTCGTGAAAAAATCTGACAGCTTAAAATTATTGAATATTGTTGCCAAAATAATTTGATTTACAGAAAGTTTACATGAGATGGTCATTTCACCAATTTTCTTAGCCGGATCCCTTTGATTAACTAGAGACGTCTGCAGTGATCACACAGTTGGTGATGAACTAGAATGGCCTTAGAAATCACATGTAAAATTTGATTAATCAGGGGGAACATGAAGGTCAAGGAGTAGACTGAAACAATTTATGCAGTCGTGAACATGGAGTTTAACAGTGATGCTACGGTACAGACCCTGATTGTCCACATTTTTGAGAAAACATTTTTTTCTGTG